CTTCCCCAGGGCCTGACACAACTCCTGGCCCTAAGCAGGTGCTCTGTGAACAGTGCATGAATGAATGAACACAGGACCTGCCAGAGCACCGTCCCAGTCACAGTCTGGGCTTTGATTCAAAGCAAGACATATTTTTTAAGTAAAAAAAAAAAAGAAAAAAAGCCACTATAAATGGAGGGTCATGCCTGAAAAACAGGTGAAGAGATGAAAGTGTTCTGCGGAGTGTGTCTGAAGTCAAATGCTATTTGTTGAACACTGGAGGAAAAATAATTGCCATACCGCAAAGGGATGTAAATAAGGCCAAGTACACAAAGGAATGATCATTATCTTTATTCATACACACTTGCTTCCAAACTACAATTAATGTTTCTAACAAAGCGTATCATGCAAACGGAGATTAGAGGTTATACAAACTGAAAAAAAGCAATGCAGTAATTTATACATCCATCTTCTCTGCTATATAACCAAATGGTGTTTGACAGTTGAATGGCCTCTACATTTTGTCAGTACGTGCTTATACAGAAGGAAAAACCTCAACCTCCGTCTCTTCCTCCAAACAAAGTTGGGGTCTTATGTGATGTTTTTCAATTAATGATTTAAACGTGGTATGTCCTTCACACACAAAAATCATGTAGCAAAAGCAATGACTTCAAATGCTTCTGTTTATAAAAGATATTCTGAAAGACCCTAACAGAAGGGATGTGAGGCTAATATTTAGAAAACCTTTAGACTCAAAATAGTAACTGTCTTCATGATTGATTTGGAATATTCCAGTAAACCAACGCTTCAAGAAAAGAATTACATTCTTCCAGGAAGAATATCAACAAAAGTCTACAATCACAGGAAAGGATACTCCTAAAGTTAAGCAGAGTTGACAAAGACAGTCACTTCATCAGAAAATGCAAAGCCGCCTTTTATCTTATTTTAGAAAAAAAGGTTCTTATAAAGTGGACTTGACACCTATTTTCTGAAAAGGAGGGTTCTGTCTACTCGCATAAGCGATAACTATGAAACAGAAGTCAATAGGCACGTTTGCTGCTGCCTCTTATATCTTGGGAGATCGAAGTATTTCTGAGTTGTCCAGTGGGCAAAATCCTTACAGGGCATCTCTGAATCTTCACCCAATGTGACAGACCTGGGGACCAGGGGGGTCTGGGCACAGAGCCAAGGAAGCATCCTCCTCCTGCCAAAAGGTGGCCACAGAGCCTCATGGAGCAAGGAAAGGGATCCCAGAAATCCCTGGGAGTCCTATTCCAGGGCTGCCTCTGGATGGGGGACACTAAAAATATCTTTCCTGTGGTTTGGAAGTTTCTAAACCTTAAGCAGTTGTGCCCAGTGTCTATTAAAAACTCGCAGAGCATCAGTCTGCCAACAAGTTCCACCTGAACTTGTAGGTCATTCCCACGTGGACTCCACACCCTAGGAGCATGGGAAAATCTGGCAGTGGGAGAGCAGGTCGGGGGTGCTCCAGCTGACCCAGGCTGAGTCCTCCTACAAGCTCCAGGGGATTGGAATCTTAGGAAATCGTCAGTTGCTTTATTCTAAAAACTCATTTTTAAAGAATCATTATTAAAGTTCTCTATAAAAAAGTACAAATAGCCCAGTATATTCAGTTGCTATACTGGAATTAACAAATAATTTCTTCCTTTAGGTTAAGAAAAAGTCTTTGGAATTTGTGGGCTTTTGTGTAGGGTCACTGTAAGGCTGTTGGATGGCTGAGTGTGACCTCCACGGTTATTAACTGTCACCTGATCACATAGATGAGGGGCATAGGGGTCACAATCATTCGTGCTGTTGACTTTCCCAAAGAATTCCAGACACTATGGAATTAACACAATTGTGTTGACCCCATTTCTAGATGGCGGCCTTCATCCATGTGTACATCAGGTAACCTTCTCAATTTTCTGAATCTTCTAACAGCAGAAACAGATAACGTTCCCTAGATCTGCTGTGTCAGCCCGAATGGGAGGAGACAGGAGTGTTGACTGTCCAGTGCATTTCATAGCATGGAGCCCAAGCAGCTTAAGGAAAATGACTTTTAAAAAATATTTTGGCTGGGCATGGTGGCTCATGACTGTAATCCTAGCACTCTGGGAGGCTGAGGTGGGCAGATCATGAGGTCAGTTCAAGACCATTCTGGCCAACATGGTGAAACCCGATCTCTATTAAAAACACAAAAATTAGCTGGGTGTGGTGGCGGGCACCTGCAGTCCCAGTTACTCAGGAGGCTGAGGCAGGAGAATCGCTTGAACCTGGGAGGTGGAAGTTGCAGTGAGCTGAGATCGTGCCACTGCACTCTAGCCTGGGTGACAGAGCAAGACTCTGTCTCAAAAAACAAACAAAAAACCAAAAATGTCCTGGCCGGGCACAGTGGCTCATGCCTGTAATCCTAGCACTCTGGGAGGCCAAGGCAGGCGGATCACCTGAGGTCAGGAGTTTAAGACCAGCCTGGTCAACGTGGCAAAATCCCATTTTTACTAAAAATACAAAGATCAGCTGGGCATGGTGGGGGGCACCTGTAATCTCAGCTACTTGGGAGGCTGAAGCAGGAGAATCGCTTGAACCCGGGAGGCAGAGGTTGCAGTGAGCCAAAATCATGCCACTGCACTCCAGCCTGGGCAACAAGAGTAAAACTCCGTCTCAAAAAAATAAAAATAAATTTCGCAACACTCCTTGTCAAATTGGTGTGTGGCCACTAACAGAGCGCCCTTGTCCTTCCTGGTGACTGTCATGCCTACTGCTGTCCTGGTAACTCTCACGATCACAGCCTTTGGGCCCCCGGCTCAGCGTCTGTTTCGTGATTACAATTGTCTGGTGTGCCCAGCAGGGGACATAGGCACTCCTACCCTTGTTGGGTTATAAAGAAAAAGGAAATGGTGTGATGTGTACACACAAGAAATAGGTGACTTCAGAAGACCAAAGTGAGAAAATGACTGTCAGATGGTATCACCTTTGTGAGGCTTCTAAAAATACAAGACTGCCACTTTTTCTCTTTTCAGTACTGAGAAAACAAAAACCAGCAAAACACAAAAAACAAAAACAAAAACCTCTGAAATGTCTCCTGCTAAGTGGAACCAGGTGGGAACTGCAGTGTTAGTTGTGTGGTGTTAGTTGTTAGTTGTGCGGTGTTAGTTGTTTTTACTTCTCCATTTATCCTCAGCTGCCATAATTCTTGGCAGGAAGCCAGAGAGGAAAATGGGCAGGAACCTACTGGCCTCTGGGGTACACTGGATGGTCTGGCTCTGCCCAGAGAACTATGAGCTACTTCAAGGTGGGGAGGGGAAAGGGGCTTCCAGCAGTTGGTGGGGATGTTGTCAGCGTTTGGGGGGTGTTTTCTGAGGAGGAACAGACTGTGTCCCTGGCAAAACACTCTCTTGAGGGCCAGCAGACGGAAACTTCCATCTGCACCAACCACCTCCGATGGGAAGCCGTTGACAGTGGCACCCCTTCCTCTCCCTCCTACTGCAGGCATATTTCTGGATGCACCCAAACCCTGTTCTTCTCTGGCTCCTTCCTGACTGCAGCCCCCGCCTCCCTCTCTCTTCTCAGCACGTACGTGGGGGTTCTCTGGAAGTCTGCACCCTCCTTCCAGGAAGTCACCACACTCGCCTAAGGACTTTGGTTCACAGAGGTGCTCAACAATCATTTGCTGGGTTAGCCTGAATCTTGGTCTTTCCGGCCAGGCTTCCAAAGCTCTTGGCCCCATGGTTTTCTATTAAAATTCTGAATAAGAAGGTCTAATACATGGCCTCAGAAAGGGCAGACAGTGGCTCTGCATGGACCACACGAGGCCAGGGGATGAAAGGAAGGGGAGCGCTGCTGGAGCAATCATTTTGACTCCTGTGGTTTCCGATCTGCCTTTTGAATTAGTTCTTGCCTGGATGTGGGCCTCGCATTAACCTCGGAGGATGGCCCCAGGCAGCATTCCAGTGACTTCCTTTCAAAGCCAGCACCTGGTGACCTTCAATTGAAATGCCAAGAGACGGGCTGCCAGCCCATGGCCTGCAGCCTCAGGGAAAGGCTCTGCCACCCAGGAGTGGCCACCTTCCAAGGAAAGAATGCAGAGCCGTTTGAATGGCTTGCTGTGGTCATAGCTCCACGGGTCCCGTGGGGATTTGGACGGTGCTAGCTTCTGCCCGGTGGCCTAGACCTCCGCAGGCCCTGGCAATCAGGTCATGCTCAGGAGCAAGGACTTCCCAAAGGGTCCCCCAGAGACCTCATGCGTGGCTGCGACAGTTCCACAGCGCACCCCTCGCCACCATCTCATTTCACGCAATGCCCATGAAGGGGCCAGTACCATAGAATATCACAAACTGATTCTGAGGCGAGCCATTGCTCATGGTTATCTACATGACAGTCCCGACAGTAACAGTCTTGGGCTGCTGAGATCTGTAAAGCCCTAACCATTACCCACATTCAACACTCAGCAATGGATAAAGCAGGTTCCACTGACAACACTGCACCGGGCCTTGATTTTGACTGTTTCCCCCCGGGGGTTTGTTCTGGGGTCTGCTGTCCCTCAGGCAGTGTGCTGGGGACCCCCGTCGGGGCATTTTCTTGGAAAACTTTGCCACACTGTCTGAGAGAATAACAGCCAGCTGAGATGGTGAATGTGTTTCCTAGAGAAACAAACCTGTGGGTGATGGGGTTGCAGGGAAGGCCTGAGCCTGCTGCTTGCTTAAAACACACAGGCCGTTTGGGGTGCTGAACAAGGATCCCTAACCCCATGTGTTCCTCCATGGGACCTTCCTCCTCTCTGGGGTCCGTCCTGCTGCTGCTCCCTTCTGGGCAGGGGGACCGGCCCTTTTGTCTCCTAGGCTCTTTCTATAAACCAGTCCCTTTCCCCTCAGATCAGAGGACGTGCACCTGGTCAGGACACGAGCCCAGATTGTGCACTGATCCGCAGGGCCGCAGGGACAGGGGAGCCAGGCCCCCCTGGAGTCTTGATGTCTATGGGGCATAAAAGATGGCAGAAGAAGTGGCTCTTTTCTGGCCGGGCCCATTCCCTACCCCATCTCTCCTTCTACTCAGGGTTGCCAGGACCACCTGGGCCTCTCACCTCAAAAAGCCTTTCATGGTTGTACGTTCTGCGAACTTCAGGCAAACAGCCAGAGAAGAAAAATACGGCAAGCTTAGCTAGGAGATGCTTCTGGGAGGAAACAGAGTGGCTCTCTACAAGGACCGACAGCTACTTTCACTCTCTTTCTGTTTGTGGTAGAACCTGGCTCCTCTGAGGACCTTGCATGGGGGGTGTCTCACCAAAGCAGCGTACTCCTCCCAAGGCTGGAAAGGCCAATGCCACAATGGCTGGAAGAAAGTCTGCGGCCTCTGAAAAGCAGGTGCTGGTGCCTGCAGGGCACGGCTGTGTTGGTCTCATGAAGTTTGTGCGTACTGGAGCAAACGACAGGTCGTTGCAGAGGCATCAAGACAGCACGCTTCCTGTGGGTCCAGTACACATAAAGAGGGGAGTCTCCCCATCCCTCCCACCCCTGGAGTCAGCAACAGTCGTAGGCTGAAGGGAAGAAGGAAACACACACACACACGGACACACAAAGGTCAGCCCAGGTGCTGTAGCAACGCCACATGTGCACCAGTGTACTAGGCAGACCGCAATCAGACACTTCCTGTTGTCCCCAAGAGGAAGTGGCGGAGGAACTGGGATGAAAGGTGGCATTAAGAAACTAAGAGGGAGTGTCAGCTCAAAAATAGTCCTTACCCATAAAAATTTGTTTGCAGGTAGAATCAAATATATATATATACACACACACACGTAGTAAGAGCCTAATCTATCATGTAAAGTAGCCATTCATTTCTGAAATTTTATCTACATTTAAAAATTAATCTACCTGATACAGTGCCCATGTGCGGGGAGGGAAAGCACAGAAGCAAGGGATTCAGCTAAAACTTAATTCGAAAAGAGGATCAGAAACAAGAACCTGCACAAATAGAGCACAATCGTGTCTTATAAAATTATTATAATACTCTTTTTATACTTGATACGATTATATCAATAATATAGATTCACTTGTTATTAAGGTTTATTATAAACATGCAAAATTCATTGCATGATGCATTTGCAAAACATATTAAAATCCTTCTAGCAATAAAACATCTTTGAGCTGTTAGGCATCCGGGTTTCCTGATTCTACAGCTCCAGGCGTACTAGAAATGGGAATCAGAACCGTATTATTTTTATCCCTAAGTGGACATCCAGGGCTGGAGAAGGGAGGAAAATCAATCAGTAGGGGCTGATGCTAGATTCAGCACTTCCAGTAAGTTACTATACATCGTACTTTCATAAACGACACTGCAGCCTATTAAATAAATAAGTACAAAAGGGGAGAGGGCGTACACTTCAGCTTCTTGAGAAGGATAACAAGGTAGGCAGCAAAATATTGGTGTGTGTGGGGTGGCTGTTGGCGAACAACACTGGTGAGTAGTGGCATGATTACTGATGGCACCCTGGATTGAAAAATAATCTCCCAGAGATTAAAATGAAGGTACATACACACTGGCTTATCCTTGATCTGAAATGATTTCACATGCTTGTTCAGCAACGTCCTTAGACGATTTGGCCTCTTACAAAGAATGAAAGTATCAAGACAGTTATCAGCCAAGGAGGGTACCAGATGACAGATTCACCCAACACTCATCTGAGGCTTTTTTTGTTTAAACTGGTAACTGCTGGACTATGGTTGGGTTAGGATTTGTCAATGTTTGGGAACAGTGATTAGGTTCATCCTGGCCTTTCAGATTCTATGGGCTGTTTCCATGGAGGCAGAGAACGGACGCAGAGGGTACTTTGAGGCCTCCCCCATCCCCAATCCCTCCCTGCTCACTCTCTTGGCTTCCTGTTCTTGGATTCCAAGATGTCTTGGGTGGAGATGTTTCCAGCCCCCTGGGCTGGGGTAGGCTCACTTTAACATCTCTGGTTGGGGGATTCCGATGGTGAAAAATCCACAGATGGAGGGTATGGAAAGTATATCAAATTGTACCCAAAATGGGGCAACAGTCTGTTTGCTTTCTAGGAAGGGTTAACCTAGAGGCAGACGTAACTTCTACAGAATTAAACTGGACACTGTGCATGACGTACCATCTTCCACTAAGATAATGTTCTTGGTTGTAAGAGAGAGACCCTGAACAGTTAATCACATTTGGACTAATAACCCTACAATTTTCAGGCCTCCATATGGAATCAGACACAAGGCCATGGCCTTAAAATTTTAGGGTTAAGGATCACTTCCCACTGTGGGGAGGGCTGGGGGCTGGGGAGGCATTTGTTCTCGCTGGTGAGTTTCATACTGCACTCTGTAAGATGGGGTGCACAAACTGGGGGTTGACATACGAGAACCCTTCAAAATCAGACTGATCTATGTTAGCAATAACCAGCTGATCAGGCGGTGTTAAGACGGGCTGCCCTCGTGTGAAGAACTTGTCAAAGTTTTCTGCTCCTTTGCCGCACTGTGGAGAAAAGACAAAAAGAAGGAAAGGTCAGTCCACACGACAATGCACAGCAGCTCTCCGAGGGCCCTCTCTGGGGAGGGGCACGGCCCTGGGGACCTCAGGGCTGGTTAGGCAGGAGGAATCTTGGAAGACTTGCAGGCCTACTGGATTCAAAAGCCAGGCACAGCAGACAACGAGGAGTTACCCAACTGTAAATCTCGAAATACCCCGAACAGAAGCCCTGGGTGGGAATGCACGGCTGGCAATGAGGCAGCAACAAGGGGACAGCCCCTGTCCGCTCACGTCCACCTCACCGAGCAAGCGGAGCTGACAGCATGGAAGCTACGCACGCGGGGCTGTCAGTCACAGCTCCATGTTGAAAGGCCAGGACGTTGGCTGGGGCTGCAGGCAGTTACCCCTGGACCAAGCGAGGGGGGTGAGTTACTGCCGACATCTCATTCTTTGCCGCAATATTTGTAATAAAAACTGTGTTATCCTTGCCTTCCTACTGGGCTGCTCTAGCAACCCCAGCCCCTAAATTAAGCTTCAAGCGATATAAGGTAGGTGTGGCGGCAAAGCTGGGAGATTTGCACCTGGCCCAGCTAGGATTTAGCACACCTAGACACAGCTGGCCAGCGGGCAGGCTGGGCGACTGGAGCTCATTTGCAGGGTGGTCTCAGGCTGGAGGTGGTTTGCATGGCACCCTGGGGAGGCAGGGAAAGGCCTGCTGTCTCGGCTCTTCCTCTCTTCCAGGGTCCACTGGGGTGCTCTGTGCGCATCGAGGCTGCAGGCAGAACTGCTGCATTGGAGTCTCTGAGACACATAGCCGCGTAGGCAGCACAGCTTGGTAGCCTGACCCCAAAAGTGGGGAAGGGGTGTCTCTTCACTTTGTCAGCCACCCACAAGGGTAGTGGCGTGTTGAAGTCCCCGAAAGCCCAGGGTGATTCTGAAGCAGGAAGAGTTTCACTGAGGAGCCTAAGAAAGATTTTCCAGATGTTGCCAATTATTGCCCCGGGACCTGCTGCTAGCACCACAGGGCCAATATGAATTCACGCTGAGCTAGCACATGTTTCAAACTAACTAGGCATCCTTGGGTCTCTAACAGAGAATAGCTCTGGATTAACTGTGAAGTGGGGTCCACCCAGTTTGCTCATCTGTAACACTGGGAGAATCATCACACCTCCTGCCAAGGTTGTCATGAAGGTGAAATGTATGGGGTTTTCACAGAGCCCAGCAGAGGCGAGAGGCCGCGCGTGCTGCTAGTGTTTTCATAAGGCAGTTGAGTCTCATGGGCTGTGCTTTCTCAGCTCCTTTTTCACACTTTCTCTTCTAGGAGGTGTGCTTGAGAACCGTTTTTTTTTTTTTTTTTTTTTTTTTTGAGACAGAGTCTTGCTCTGTTGCCCAGACTGGAGTGCAGTGGCATGACCTCAGCTCACTGCAATCTCTGCCTCCTGGGTTCAAGTGGTTCTCCTGCCTCAGACTCCCGAGTAGCTGGGATTACAGGCATGAGCCACCATGCCCGGCCATGAAGCTACTTCCATTACCCTTCTCCCACCTACTTTTCATCAAATAAAACCTGCTCCTAAGTACCTGTTGAGGTGGAAAGCATGTCATAAATTCAAAGTAAGGTTTTTATGACAAACAGCTTTCCTTTCTGGGTTTATTCATTTTTTTTGAGACAGGGTCTCACTCTGTCACCCAGGCTGGTGTTAGTGGTGTGAGCATGACCCACTGCAGCCTCAACCACCTGAGCGCAATTGTTCCTCCCACCTCAGCCTCCTGAGTAGCTGGGACTGCAGGTGCGCACCACACCTGGCTATTTTTTGTATTGACAGGGTTTTACCATGTTGCTCAGCCTGGTCTCGAACTCCTGAGCTCAAGCAATCTGCTGGCCTTGGCCTCCCAAAGTGCTGGGATGAGCCACAGGCGTGAGCCACCGCGCCCAGCCTCTGGGCTTATTTCCATTTTAATAAGCGACCACCTACTCTTCACCCAAGGAGATTTCACACCGCAATGAATGGTGAGTATGTGGGTGACCTGTGTGGTGGGGCAGAGGGGAAGAGAGGCAGGGGCTGTCTGTGTGCTTTCAAGTTACTCTGCGGAGCCATACAGACATGAGGCTTTACTGTCACATCTGTCCTGCCTCTCACACGTCGGGTAGCAAAGCTTGCGCTCTCACACCCCACGTGTCCGTGGTATATTTCCTTGGAAGAGCACAAAGCACCTCAAAGCCAAGGTCAGCAGAGGCAGAATCTGCAATTCACATTACCCTATGTGTACAGGCCATTTGCAAACACCGAGAAAGGCTCTTCGAAAAATAAATAAGGGCACGCTGTTTCTTCCTAGGAATTAATCGGGAGTCTGTACTTAATTCATCAGTTAAACAAATAGAAACCAACTTTCCTTGGAATTCCACATTCAGATGCTGCTGTGATGATGACAACAGCCAAAGAAATAGCCCTCCTCTGGATATACCAGTGGTTCTCAACCAGGGATGATTCTGCCCCCAGGGAACCCATTTTTGGTCATTATGACTCGGGCGGGACGAGCCTGGCATCTAGGAGATAGAGGCCAGGGATGGTGTGGAACATCCTACAAGGCCCAGGACACTGCCCCTGCCCCAAAGAATGATTGGCTGAAAATGCCAACAGTCCTGCTGCCAAGAAACTCTGGGATACACCAAGACTATCGTGTGAGGCTGAGTAGGTCCTAAGATCCGTGTGAGGGCAGACATGAAGCCAAAGTAGGGAATTGGGCAGGAGCAGCCATATGCAAGAGTGGACAATGGAGAAGTGGCAGAAGTCCCGAGGCAAAAGCATTTGGAGCAAATGTAACAGCTCAGTGGAGCTGGCTTTGGGAACATCCTTTTGGAACCTGATTCATCAATACTCATTGCCTGTAAGAATTCAAGTGAACCTACAATCAGGGCTCCCAGAGGCTGGGATGTGTAGTCCTTTAATAAGAGATCATCTGTGCTTCTCTTGATACTCACTAACCATGCAAAGATGAGCAAGAAGGAATTTCTGGAAAAAATATAATAAAAGGACGTGAGTCCCCAAAAGGACGAGCAAAGCAAACCAAGGTAAAATGTTCTGTCCCTTTTTCACAGGACACATTGGATGAATTTAGGGCTGCACAGATAGACTAGACGTCTAGGCTGGATGTCTGTCCTGCTCTAAATTTATCAATGTGTTCTGCGAAAAGAGTACACAGGTCTGACCCTTTCAGTCCCGTCTTTATGGCATTTTAGTCCTGTCTTTATGGCATTTACGAATCATCGTCCAATGGGACGTTTCCAAAAGCCATGGCTTTACTGCCAAGGAAAAATAAAAAGCAAACTAAAAGGAGATCTCCCAAGCTCTAAAAAGGGGACCACAGAAACCTTCCCACTGAGAAGCCTGGAGAGGGAGGCTTGAGGACATCCAATTCTAAAGCTGGTGTCCAGAGAAAGGTCACTCCTGAGGGTGCCCACTGCTCGAAAAGCTAAAGTACTGTGATAAAATGGGACAAAAATTCCTTCCTGGTTAAGGGCTTGTGTTCTGCCTGTGCTGAGGTCTGCAGAGCTAAGGGGGAAGTTGTGGAGTCTAGATCAACTCAGTTGCTGCCCTGCAGTCACACTGAGTGCGGCTGTGCGGCTTCTGGTCTCAAAACTGCTCACTGCTGGAAACACCTTCCTCTTCTTTCTCACTGTAAATCTCTCTGGAATTTTCCTTGAACTCAAAGAGGGAGAAATCTCACTTTAACAAATGAAAGCTGTTCTTAAATTGGTTCTCTTCGGTGGAGAGACAAGAGGCAGGCACAGGCCAAGGGCAAAAAGTAGAAACTAAACCACTGAAGTTCAGCCACATCAACCACGGGACAGAAACGAGCCGTGGGTGGATCTTAGCAAGCAGGGGAAGAAAGCCTGGAAGGGCTGCAGGATGACCTGAGGGTTAGATCAGCTCCGAGACTCAAGAACTTTTTATTCTTAGGGAGATCAAGCCACAAAGAAGTCTCCTTCGCCCCACCAAGAGCCAGGGGGCAGCACAGCTACTTCTACTCCAGACTCGGCGTGGTGAGAAATACCATTTCCTTTTCCACCACATAAGGTCTTCCAATGCGTTATAAATGAGCCTTCCACAGCTCTTAGCAAAAGTAGCCCTGGAAATAGACAATCTACTGTCAGTCAAATTGGAGAAGATCTTGAACTACTTGTTTTCCAAGATGTTAATGTGGAAAACTACCCCCACCACTACCACCTCCTACTGAAAAAGATAATGAAAACCAGAGATTTCTGGATCCTTGGAGAAAGGAAAAGCAGTAGATTCAAGAAGCTACTGCATTCCTAATATGGAAGAGATTCTTCCTATTATCAATGTTCTAACCTTACTCATCACCATGAGCTTGATAGGCAAGGGCCTCAGGTACCATCTTGGAGCTGAGCAGTGAGCAAGAAAAGGCAAAGGGGCTCAAGGGCTGAGGGGCACCAAGCATGACTGCACGAACACCAAGGGAATGAGTACAAGATGACTGCAGGCAGCCTCCCGCCACTCCTCAGGGATGAGGCAGGCAGGTAATCACCGCCGCCATTGGAAGGGCAGCCTCTGCAGCAGTCTGTGACAGCAGGCAGGTGTGGTTGTCCATGGCCTCAGAGCTCTAGACCACCCAACAGCACATGGACACTAAAAGCAACATTTATACCTTGTGAGCGAAACTGGGCTGGGTGTGCACTATCTCCACCTCCAAAGGTCACCCGCGTCTTTCGCCGACTGAGGCTTTTGCCCTCTGGGATGTGATGGGCACCACACGATGGGTACGGGACAGAGATAAAGGGGAAGAGGACATCAGGGGGTGGTCAGACCTAACCAGTCGGCGTGTGACTCTTAAACTCCCTGAGACCAGGCGATGTCGGCACCCAAGGGAAAGTGGGGACACAGAAGGGAGAAGGATGTGGCCAGAGATCAAGAGCCGCAATGTATAGCTTTGGCAAACTCAATGCATCTCTCTGTGAAGGTAAGATGGGGATGTGACCATCCACC